GTTGATCGCAACATACAACATCAAACACATTCCAAGCTATAAATAAAAGCTAAGGACACTTGAAGAAGCAAGAGAACAACTATCCAAGCAATCAAACACAAGAGAAAATCCCAACATGATAACAACTGAACAGATCATAGCAATGTTCAAACTCAAGTTACTAATGAATGTCTAACTAAAAATGTATGCATTCACACATAAAATACACATAATACAACGTTTGCATTTAAAAATCACCTAAGTTAATAAGTCCCAAAAGGTAAAGCCGGTTGTGATTGGGATCTTGATTTTGATTGCGATTTTGATTTCCTTTTGCTTGGCACCATATGAGCTTTTGGATTTTGATGAGGATCTATTTTTTGGTAGAGGAAAAGATGATTGTGATGGCACTGGTGATCCACAGGTCAACCTTGTATGACCACTTTCCTTGCACCGACTACATGTCGATATCCTCTTCTTCACCCTTAGACGGTATACGATCGTGATTTTTTGGACGGTATTACTTGGGTTCTTGAATATGTATGTTTATCAATAAAAGTCCTAACTTGAAACATTTCGCAATCTTTTTATCCTCTTTGCAATCATACGCCACGTACAATTTTTGTCAATCATACACCTTGTTTCGAAACGATCTTTGCTTGATTTGTTAACTTTTAGTTGATAGCCATCTTCCACACATTTCGTATACAAAGATATCTTCAAGTCTTCCTTTGTATCAAAACAATCATCTTTCTTGATACGAATAACTTTTGTGTAACAATCAACTGCTATCTTTACCAACTCTTCTTCCGGTATCTGAAGTAATTCTGACATATACCAGTTATACTCCCGTGGCATTTTCTTCTTTTTCCTTTCTTCGGGGACTTCTTCTTATTCTTTTTCTACTTCAAGGTTATATGAATTACAGAATGGATGTTCAACATGTTCATTCACAGTCGTAACTTCCTCTTCATTATCATCAACAACATCTTCCTCGGCAGCTGCTGTTTCATCATCAAAATTCGGGTATAAACCATCAAAATCATTACATGCAGGGTCTGATTCTTCTTCCATCACATCATCAAAATCCGAGTATTGACCAAGATCAAAGTCCGGGTATTGACCAAGATTAAATTTCGAATACTGACTAGTACTCACAATTTTTTCTGTTGGCTCATAATCGTCTAACTGGTCAATACGAAAACCAAAATTTGGTGCTGAAAGTTGATCGGGATTTGGATTAGGAAAAGGTTGTGGGTTTTGAGATTGTGTTTGATATTGTGTTTGGTATTGGAAATGTGGTGAAACAAAATTTGCTTGGTGATCAAATTGTGGTGGAACCATTAAATTTTGGGTTGAAGAACTTAGTTGATTAGTACCCGTTACTGACCCAACTTCACTACTTCTAGGTTCAACAACATACAATGTAACATCATCTTCTTGCGAAACACTAATATAAGCAATGAATCGTTCAACATCTTCATTGTCGGTTAACAAATAAACTTTACCTTTTCTCTGATAAGATAGCCTAAATCCACTTAGAAGCTCTAAATTCAATTTCTTTGCAACACGTAACATTAGAGTTTCATTAGTTAACTTTTTTAATGATAGTTTTAGTTGAAGATTCATGGGTAAATGCACATATTGTAAAACACCATGAACATTCTCTCATGACCCTCCAAAACACAAATATATCCAAACATGATCAACATTAGATGATTTTATTCTACAAATTGTAAATAAATTACTAAACAAACGAGCTATAAACTAGATATCATCACTAACTTAGAGAAAAACATACCTTTATTAAGTTGATAGTTGATAATTTGGGAGAGAAATCATTGAAAAATTATATAGAAATAAAATTATGTAAAAAAAATTAGAGATGGGGAAGGATGTCGTTGGATATAGGAACGGATGTCGCCGGAGAGAGTGATAGATGGAGATGAAATGAGTTGCGATTTAGGGATTTAGATTATAAGTTGTTGCTGCTGCGTTGTTATATACATAAAACATTTGTGTTACGAAACTAAATTTGTGTTGCGAAACTAAATTCGTGTTTCGAATTTGAAATTCAGTTTCGAATTTAAAATTCCGCATTGCGAATTTGACTATCGCGTTGCGAATTTGACTTCTGTGTTGCGATTTACAAATTCGCGTTGCGAAATTGGAGTTCTCGTTGCGAATTTGACTTTCGCGTTGCGAATTTGTTGGTCATTTTGGCAAATCCAAAAAAAGTTGGTTAAAATCGTATATTATAAGGCATTTTCAATCACTGAGTTTATTTTCTCAATATTTAATTGTCCTTTCAAATGATTATTTTATTGTTAAATATGCCAGCTGTTAGGTTTAGAATTAAATAAAAAATTATATTCTCTAATAGGTGAGAGGTATTTTAATTTTATATTTAATTATATAGAAGGTTCAATTATACATTTAGTCCCTGAATTTATACATCCTTCTGACAGTGGCCTTTGAACTTTTATTCCATAATTAGTTTATGAACTTGCATTTCATTCAATATATTAGCCATTCTTTGTAAAGATATTAAGTGAGTGATGACCTGATATTATGAGATTATATAAATCATATTTAATTATAATTTATTTAAAACAAAATATTTACATAAAAATTTAAAATAATATATAATATAAAAAAAAGCCTATTTTCAATCAACAGATTGTTTCTTTGACATGAAAAAGCTTTACTCGATCAAAGTTCAGTCAACATACAAATCAAATAATATCGACTCAAGTTCTTAATAAGCCGAATCGAGCTACTTGATATCCAACTCAAAAAAACTTGTGAGTGACTTGAAAATATAATATATTAATTTTTTTAATTTATTTAATTAAATTATTAATAATATTAACATTCAGATGTTATATTTTTATTAAAATACAATATAAGGCTTTCATGTACTTAAGGTTTAGGTCTAAACTCGAGTTTAAATTATTGAGCTCGAGTTTGAGCTTCAAATAAGTGTTGAAAAATAGACTGCTGCAAAATGAGGCGTTAACAATGACTGGATAATATTAAATAAAATAACCAAATGGAACAATAAATATACCGCGGTAATCCACTGCCTTAGAAGCGAATTCACCCCGATGTGTGTAATTGTTACAATGGACAAATGACCCCTAAGGTTAACACGGTTCTCCAATTTTCGTATACCCAAAAAATAGAGTAAACATTGGTGGTGGTGCTCTTTTTTACAAAACTCAATACTTTTATTAACTACAATTCATATTTAGGCCTTTAACTTTTGATTTATTTTAATTTTGTTCTCCCATTTTCTATTATTAATTATACTTTTCCCTCTTGAAATAAAATCTTGGCTTTGTCTTTGTACATGTTTAGTACCTAAACTATCAATTTTTATTAGTTTTAGTACCTAAACTTTCAATTTTTTCAAAATCACACCTAATGTTTAGTTTTTGTTTCGTTTTAGTACCTCGTCGTTAAAAACTTGACGGGTAATTTGCACGTAGCACCTTTTTTATGGGTAAATTGCACCATTCATCACTCAACTATCTTCTCAATCCTATTTTGGTCACTAAAGTTTAATTTATTTTAATTTAATTACTTAACTTTCAAAGTACTCCTAATTTAATCACTCTAACTTTCAAATTTATTTTTTTATTTTTAATTATATATTAATAGAATAATAACAATAAATGTCATGTCACAAAAATTATTAATAAAATAAATTAGAGTGATTAAAATAGGAGCAATTTGGAAGTTGAGTAGTTAGATTGAAAATTTTTATACTTTAGTACCAAAATAGGAGTGAGAAGATAGTTGAGTGATGAATGGTTTAATTTACCCATAAAAATATATTGTCCTTAAGTTTTTAATGGTGATGTACTAAAATGGAAAAAAATGTTAGGTATGATTTTGAAAAAAATTTAAAGTTTAGGTACTAAAACGATCAAAACTAATTTTTTTTGTACTAAACGTATAATTTACCCTACTTTATAACGAATTTAAAAGATAATAATCATACGTTTATAATTAATTGATTCTAGAACTCATCAAGTAGTCTCATTTGAAGACTTGAAAAATAAATAATTAAAAAGTTCAAATAATTAAAAAGTTGAAAAAAAATAAAAATAAAAAATCAATGCTAGTTGGGACGTTGGGGTTCGGGTTGGGGTTCGGACAGTTGGGTTTGGATAAAATTTCCTAAAAACCCAGATATTATTTTCCAGATTTTAGGATAATTTGAAATTTAAATTTCATCTATTCCAATTATCTATTTTTAGGTTTTTTATCTGAATCATTTGAATATTAAAAAAGGAATGAATTTTTGAATTTTGAATCGAATAGATAGGGTTAGATTTTCTTGCACACTTTACTGCCGTGTGTGTACGAGATCAATAGTTAAAAAAGATTTGAAAATATATTATCTTATAATCATCCTATACTATTCAAAAAATAATAATTAATTGATTGTAGTGTAATCTATACAAATAGTCCCTTATGTTTTTAGTCTGACCGACTTTGGTCACCAATTTAAAAATAAGAAGAAATGATCCTTAACGTTATCGATTCGTTCAATTTTAGTCCCTAATGTTATTGATTCATTCGATTTTAGTCTCTCAACTGTTAAATCATGTTCAATTTTAGTCCCTCAACAATGTTAAGAACTTAAACAAAATGGACTTAAACAAAAGGGGACTAATAGAAATTAATAGCTGAGGGACTTAACCCGGACAAACCGATAATGTGAGAGACCATTTACCTTTAATTTTAAATTGGTGACCAAAATCGGTCAGATCCTAAAATAAAAGGGACTATTCGCATAGTTTACCCTGGATTGTATTAGGTCCTTTGTTGATTCAATTTGGAACATCAATATTTTTTTTCCTTTGAAATCAAGATTCCCAAGTCAAGGTTTCGGAAAAAGAAATTAAAAATAATAAAATAAGAGAGCGGTAATTGTCGTGTGCTTTCAAACCGAAACATGTGGTCGGTCCCACCCTCAAAAGCTTCTTCCTAAAATCTGCTATAAATACATGCATTTATCGCTAGCCACTTCCTCACACCTCTAACTCTTTCTCTTCAATACATCCCAATTTCTCTCTGCACTTTGGTGCTGAATTGTCTCAATTTCTCTCTGACCTGGAGATTACTAGAACCAGGTGAGAAACAAATTGATACGGTTGAGTACCAAGAATCATCATTAACTGCTGTGATTTCTATTTGTAAGTTTTAGTCTCTGTTCATCTATATTTATATGTATATGTAGCTGAAAGCTATAGTATTTGTCAAGGAGGTGGTGTTTTGCAGGTTTCATATATCAATATGGTACAGAGGATTCCAACCTTTGCTATGGTTTGACCTTGACTGTAAGTTCATATATACCAAGTGACACTAGCTGGGATGTCAAAAGGTTGCCTGGATATTGACAAATCATGACTTGAAGTTTCATCTATTCAACAGACTGCTCTATATCCATTCCAGGTTTAATGTCTGAAAGATATAATCAATTATGTCTACAAAAACCCTGAGTATATCTTTTTGTTTCCTGCAAAAGGAAAACATGAAATTGTTACAAACAAAACATTGATGGGAAATTAAAGGCTAAACAGAAAGGAGAATGTTGTATTGACAAACAGGCAAGTTTGCCAGAAAGAGATTCAGTAGCTGGCAATTTACAGAATCTACTCTGTTTAGTCCTATAGAATTGGTGCTTTTGCAAAGGATTGCAATCAGATTCAAACCCTGCACAATTTGATTTAAATGGTTAATACACTCATTTATGAAAGAAAACGAAATTCAAATTTGATCATTTACAACTAATCTTTTTTATATCAAAAAATAAAGAGGATGAACGTAGCTTGTTTTTCTTACTGTTCATAAGTATGATGTATTGATTTGTATTGATAGAAAACAATCGGAGTGTGAATATATGCAATAATCTAATGGCTTTGGATGTAGTTGGTTGTTGATGATTGAGAAAATGGCAAGCGCCTCATGGTCAAGACTCGTGATAAAACTCGCACGGTTTTGGTGGATTCATGTGGCAATCGTGCGATGAGCTCGTGACGGTGATCTAAAGTGGTGCTCTATTTGTCTTGACACGCAGTGTCGTTGTCAGAACTGTCGCGCGTTGGTGGATACTAGTGATCGATAGTGTGATGAGCGTGCGACCTTGCGATGAACCGGGCTGTGATCGCGCGATGTGGCCTTATTGTGGTCTGTTTGTCATTAGTCGTCGTCAGAACTCGCACGGTTTTGGAGGGTTTTCGCCATCAACAGTGCGACGCTCGCGCAATCTTCGGCAACGTATGGGAAAGAGTGTATAGTTTGAAATTGTCATCCTCTTAATCCAATATTTTACTTGCTTTTTAAAAATATTTTATATTTTACCAACCGGAGTTGATATTAGTAAGTAATTTGATATCGTTTAAATAAGTCTCGGGTTCAAATTATTATTTATGCAGATGTAGTCATTCATTTTTGTCTGAATTTTTATATACATATAACACATATAATCTATAGTTAATACTCATTAATGAAAGAAAACGAAATTCAAATTTGATCATTTACAACTAATTTTTTTATATCAAAAAATAAAGAGGATGAACGTAGCTTGTTTTTCTTACTGTTCATAAGTATGATGGATTGATTTGTATTGATAGAAAACAATCAGGGTGTGAATATATGCAATAATCTAATGACTTTGGGTGTAGTTGTTGGTTGCTGATGACTGAGAAAATGGCAAGCGCCTCATGGTCAAGACTCGTGATAAAACTCGCACGGTTTTGGTGGATTCGTGTTGGCAATCGTGCGATGAGCTCGAGACGGTGACCTAAAGTGGTGCTCTATTTGTCTTGATACGCAGTGTCGTTGTCAGAACTGTCGCGCGTTGGTGGATATTAGTGATCGATAGTGCGATGAGCGCGCGACCTTGCGATGAACCGGGCAATGATCGCGCAATGTGGCCGAATCACTATGTGGCCTTATTGTGATCTGTTTGTCATTAGACGTCGTCAGAACTCGCACGGTTTTGGAGGGTTTTCGCCATCAACACAGCGACGCTCGCGCAATCTCGGCAATGTATGGGAAAGAGTGTATGGTTTGAACTTAAGTGTCATCCTCTTAATTCAATATTTTACTTGCTTTATTTTACTTGCTTTTTAAAAATATTTTATATTTTACTAACGGGGTTAGTTTAAGTAGTAAGCAGCTTGATATTGTTTAAACAAGTCTCGAGTTCGAATCATTGTTTATGCAGAAAATCTCAGTGAGAGTCTCATCAACCAAAGTCAGGTGTGTGATAGGGGTCGATCCGGATTAGTGAAGGTAAAGCTCTGAAAAACTAGAAGGGCAAAAAAATGTTATATTTTTTTAAAGAGAAAAAAAAGGAATTAATTAAAATTGAATTCAACATTTAACATGAACCGAAATTAAAATAATATCCTTTAAGAAACATTACAAGCTTAATTAACATTTTTATTTGATAAAATTTAGATAATGTGAAAAAATTGGTTATATAGAGTTTTTTTTCCAAGTAGGATTTTTTTTAGAATGTTTTGGAAGCCGTTTGGTATACACAGAGACTTTTGAAAGTCGTCTAGATTGTAAGGTGGCTTCTTTATGCTTCATGCATACACGATTATAGACACTCATTTTCGTCTATATATATATATAATTTTTATTTTTATTTTTATTTTATACACATATATATATATATATATATATATATATTATATAGTTCGCAAACGGTTTTTGAAAATACGTATATAATATATAATTTTTAAAACATTTTTGAAAACTATATAATATATAGTTTTTAAAACATTTTAGAATATATATATAATATATAGTTTTTAAAAAATATTTTGGAAATTTATATATGATATGTTTTTGAAAATATTTTATTATTATTTATTTTATTTTATTTTATTATTTATTTATTTATTATGTTTTTTGCAGGGTCCAAATATGTCCAAAGTTGTTCGGGTCCAACACTAGCTAAGCGGGCTTGAACCAGCCCAGGTTTGCAAAACCCTAACGTCTCAAGCATCAGCGCCGCAAAGCAAGAAACCAGGAGTCAAAGGTTCGGTCACACGAAACGGTCGGACGTCGGCCGAGAATCCCGAGATTGAACCATCCCGAGATTTCAGCAGCAACGTTCACAGCCCCGAACAAAACGGAACAACCCGGGGTACTGGTTCACCGAGCAGTGTATAAATACCCCGGTGACCAACATCGAAAGGGGCACCGGGGATCACAGAATGGAGAAAACCATGAACACATAAAAGAGATAACCCACAGAGGATTTGAACCACCAAATCATTGATCAACACAGAGCCAAGAAACACAACAATAACAGAACCACAAGCCATTACAATATCGAAAAGCCAAATACAACACCACTAAAAAAACCCAAAAGCAGTAAACATAGAAACAACCGAAGGCCTCTCATCGAAAAGAGAACGATCACCGTCGAGGAAGGTAAAAAGGACAAACCTTTCGGGCTAGATCTACTTTGTTCGGGGTCGTTTTAGACGATTTGGGTTTTGATTTCGTATTCAGGGTAACGAGAAGCGTATTTGGGGAGGTTTTGGGGTTTTTCGGCTGAAGCAATTTTCGACGGCGTTGATTGGCGGTTGGCCACCTGGGTGGTAGCCGGGTTTCCACCGTGTTCTGGGAAGGTTGAGAGAGTTTAGGAGAGTGGTGAGAGACTTGTTTTGGGATAGGGAAGGAAATGAAATATTTAGGACTTGATTTTGGTATTTAAATGAGACTCGCGTACCCATCAGATCGACCCGCGACCCGATCCGGAGAGCAGAGGATCCGCGTGTTTTCGTGAATAGGGGGAATTGTAACTTTGGTTCCCCCATTTTTTATACATTTTATATTGCCCCCAATTCTCATTCCTTCTTCGATTTACTTTGAAATTGACCCTCAAACTTGGTTTTTATTTCAATTGAGTCCCTTTATTATTAATATTTTTATTTTTTATTTTTATTTTAGTATTATTAATATTTGTATTTTTAAAAAAAAAATTAATTTATTTTTCTATTTTTCTATTTTTTCTATTTTTTTCTTTTTCTTCTCTTTTGATTTTTTTATTATTTATCTTATTTAGTTTATTATTTTTCTTCTATATTTTTCTTTGATTTAACATTTATCTATTATTTCTTAAATAACACTTTCGATCCTTTTTTAGAGAAATTTCAATCGGTCAAAGGTAAATAATTCAAATCGGGTTTTTAAATTTAAATTTAAATTTTTAATTTTCGCAATTAAAGACAACTGACAAATTAATTGGTACCGAAAGGGCGGTTCAAGGGTGCTAATCCTTCCTTGACAGTAACCGACTCCCGAACCCGACACGTTTCTGGTAAAACCCAGATCAGGTAAGATGGTGTCCAACCCACCTAAATTCGTTTTAAAATGGTCGATGGCGACTCTAATCCAATCATTTCAAAGTCGAAGCCCAATTCCAGGCCCAACCGAAAGACAGTCGAGATAACTTGACGACTCTGCTGGGGATAGGTAAGTGAGTCAGGCCATAATTAATTTTTGGTTGTCTTTTTCTGCGAAAATAGTAAATTTAAATTTAAATTTATTTATTTCATTCCAATTATTTACCTTTGATTATTTTTCAAATAAATAGTTGTACTGGAATTTTTTCAATGATTTTAGATTTTTAAAAGTTTCTATCTCTGGCTCTATACCCGAGCTCCAAACTCGTCTTAAGTGGGGGTGAAAGCGACGCTCTCGTGAGAATTTATTCTCCGTATGGGCCTAGCAAGTAACCTTCGGGATTCATATACCTTATGCTTTCGTGTGAATTTATTCTCCGTATGGGCATAAGGGAATGTATCCTCTTGAGTTTAACTTAGTCCACATAAGCTTGTAATGGGCTTATGACTAAGCCCAAGGGGGCACCAGCAAGGAGAACTCGGGTACCTTTTTTAGAACCTAAACCGAGAGACTACAAGGAATTAGAGCCCACTCTAAAACCTCATTTCAAACCCTAGGTTGCTTTGAGATTATTTCCTTCTTTATTTTCTGTTCAAAGCATGTGAACTAGAAATTTATACGGTTAGGACTCGTTCAAAATTAACATGTGGGATAGAGATCATGTACGGGTAGGAATAATAAGCATGTGCGGTAGATATCATGTGGGGTAGGACTTTTTCATTTTCATTATTGTTTTGATTTACCTCACTAACTCTTTTCATTTTTGTTCTATTTGATTTTTATGATTTGCATCATTCATTCAAACGAGGTGTTGATCCACCAAAAACGTGTTCGTTAAACGAAAATAGTCTGCATTAATGGACAAAGGGGTATAATACAAGAGATGAAAAACTCAAAAGTCCAGTTATAGTAAAAAAAGATTTGGAATGGATCGGGTTTCCACCAAGCACGTCAAAAGTCAACTTTTTCAAAACGAGATAGCGAAAGTTGCGGGGGCAAGACAAGAAAAATGTTACTGACCCGGAGAGTCCTTTCGAAGATTACGATAACAAGGTGGCAAAACCCTAACTGAACTGGATATCATTACTGACGAATTCAAGAAACAAGCAAATAAACTTCAGATAGCTCTTAACGATAGAGGGCTTAAATGGCATTTCCGTTAGGGAACAGACTCAACAGAGAGTGAAAACCGGAGATACACCATTCGAGACTTCTTGGGACAAGTACAAAAACAGCTCTTCATCTGCACAGTGTATTCAACTCAACATGTAAGAAGTTGTTCGGGGTCTATACCTTTAAAATGTTTTTTTGACTCTTAAGACGTAACACTTTTGTCCCCAATAAAGATTATTTATAATAACAGACACATTTTTGGATCAATGCCTCGAACAATTCATGCATCATACATTAACTAACAAGAGATGTCTCATAAAAAAAAGATGAAAGTAAGGACACTCCCCAAGTAGAAATTTGTGCATCTGAGGGTACAACAAAAGGAGCCCCGACATGCGAAACAATTAAAAGATGGGGAACAAGTACAAATGAAGGCCCTAATCCTCGACACTCTAGAAATAGTAGGGCATCCTAATGAGGATTTATCCCATTTTGCAACATCCTGTTTGGACTTGTTTTTTGAACTTTCTCATATTTTTTTATAACTTGCTTTTGAACTTTGAAATATTTCTTTTTATGAGGACATTTCAATGAATTCATACTGAGCATTGAATTAAATCTACAAATTGAAATTCTTTGAATATCAACTGAGTTAAGAAACTTTGTAAATGATCAGAGTTATAGATCTTTGACAAAGTAACACGACTAAAAGCTAATAAAACAAAGGACTTTGACCTTACCCAGAAGATACACTCAAACACCACACCCTTCTCTTACTAATAACCAATATAGCATTCTCCCTTCATAAGGCTTGGTATTTAGATGTGCATAGGTGCGGACAACATTGGACATCTTTTGCATATGACATTTTATACTTTTTGTTTAAGACGTTCAATGATGATAATGATCTTCACAGATGGAATAATCGAGTAGGTGAATCTAGTTTAGGTTAGTTGCTTGGAAATTGAACTCTAAAGATGAGATTCTTTGACTTTCAAAAACACCTAGACTATAACAGGTTCTTATTGACAAACTTAAGAAATTGAATCTGTATACCCATATTATAATATTATATATATACAATAAAGTTTGAGTTGTCCCTCTAAAGAAATTGGTTAAACACCCCGGCTTTATGGATAAGATTCAGCTAAGCCTGATAAAGGTGATTATGATATCTATACAATAAAGCTTGAGTCGTCCCTCTAGAAAAATTGGTTAAACGCCCTGGCTTTATTTATAATATTCATCTAGTCTGATAAAGGTGATTATGATATTAAGATGTCCCTCTAGAACAATTGGTTAAATACCCCGGCTTTATGGATTTAGCTAGCCAGACATTGGCAAATTTAATAAGGAGTTTCGGTAAAAACTGACTAAGGGAGTTAAGGAACACCTGTTATAGTCAATTCACACGAGCACTCAAGAATTTCATTTTTAGACCGATATTTCTACACTACCTTTGTTAGAGGAGCTTACAAAACTTGAAAAAAATGAAAGATTTCAGAGAACCGAAATAGAAGGTCTAGTAATTGATAATGCTAGTTGCGTCATTTTGTCTGTATCCAATTAAAATGCCAAGCCAAAGAAAATGCATGTTGCAATGACCGAAAAATGACATTTTTTTATGGCTGAAACCTTAGGTCAACCTAAAGCCAACTCATCCACTTGAATATTTGTCAAAGAGCTATAACTCTGAAAGCATGAAAAGAGCTATTGATTCCTTTGATATTCTTTGAACTCATGTTTATGATTTGATTTGATTTGATTGCGGGCCTGGGGCAATGTTTTACAGAATTCTTCTATTTTCATATCATTGTTTCCCTCCTAAATAAGATAAAGGAAAAAACATTTTCAAACAGGACAGTCTCAAATGTGAAAGGTTGCAACCCGAGAAGAAAATGGGGCATGATCGATTCCAAGGATCAAGATCAGTAGACAAAGCACGAGACTCCGTCCAAGGCTAATTCAACTGCATGCATCTTAGACATACTTAAGAGCATTATATTTATCAGTTTTCACATGCATAATTTTTTGCAGCTTTCAGAGTTAAGTTTCGACTTCGTGACAAAAGATACTCGATTAGAAAGTTCCTTTAAAGATCGATGGTGGTTGCTTGACTCAGCAGTGAGAAGCTACACCTCAACTAACTTGACATATCTACAAATCTCAGAATCATTTTCAGATGGGTTAGAGAACCAATTTAGAACAAATCCAGATAGCTTAACTCAATAATGAGTAGCAGGTTTCCAGTTAACATTTTCAAGCCAGATTTCAATTCCACGACAGAAGATATCCGGCTGACAGAATTTATCAGTGGGCTTTCCTGTGAAGGGGAGTCATCCAAAAATCATATTACTTGGTTCAGACCCACTCAGAGGAACCACTTGAAGAATTATGACCAGCTTAGACCCGTGAAGGGAAACCATTTTTTAAAGAAACTATTGGCAGTATAACTCAAGACTAGAAGGGTTATCTGTCAACAAAAGACCTTCGAGTTCGACTACGCTCAGCTCCAAGGCACATTATTTGCAACATAACTCAAGGCAAGAAGAGCTATTTGCCAACAAAAGACCTTCGAGTTCAACTACGCTCAGCTCTGAGGCACATCATTTGCAGCATAACTCAAGGCTAGAAGGGTTATGTGCCAACAAAAGACCTTCAAGTTCACCTACGCTCAGCTCCAAGGAACATTATTTGCAACATAGCTCAAGGTAAGAATGGCTATTTGCAAACAAAAGACCTTCGAGTTTGACTACGCTCAGCTCCAAGGCACATCATTTGTAGCATAACTCAAGGCTAGAAGAGTTATCTACCAACAGAAGACCTTCGAGTTCGACTACACTCAGCTCCAAGACACATCATTTGCAGCATAACTCAAGGCTAGAAGGGTTATCTGCCAATAAAGGACCTTCGAGTTAGATTACAATCAGCTCAAAGGCACATCATTTGTAGCATAACTCAATGCTAGAAGGGTTATCTGCCAACAAAAGACCTTCGAGTTACTCAGCTCCAAGGCACATCATTTGCAACATAGCTCAAGGCAAGAAGGGTTATTTTCCAACAAAAGACCTTCGAGTTTGACTACGCTCATCTCCAAGGCACATCATTTGCAACATAACTCAAAACTAGAAGGGTTATCTGCCAATAAAAGACCTTCGAGTTCGATTACACTCAGCTCAAAGACACATTATTTGTAACATAGCTCAAGGCAAGAAGGGCTATTTGCCAACAAAAGACCTTCGAGTTCGATTACGCTCAGCTCAAAGGCATATCATTTGCAACATAACTCAAGGCTAGAAGTGTTATCTGCCAAAAAGGCCTTCGAGTTCGATTACACTCAGCTCAAAGGCAC